CACCCTATATTTCACTGATTAATTCTTCCTCCGCGAAAAAAAGAGAAGAAGAAAAGTTCAGAGGCCGTCGCGCTGTAGCAAAAGGAAGGGGCCCAACCGCCTCTCCGGCTGTGCTTCGGCAGGCCTCCGGAACATGAGGAAGTCCACTTTTCCTTCGCGGAATGACTTCAAAAAGACCTACTCGAAGATCCTGCTACCCTTCTCCTGGGCACCTTCGATACCCACCATAATACCCCATCGCATACGAAGGAAATTGCGGTCAAAAGTGCGAAGCCGACAATCGCCTTCAACATCCCTCGGCCACCTGGAGACCTCTTACTCGCCTGCCGACACTATAGAATCGCTACGCGTACATCGGTGGTCATTTTATGATGGCCAATACCTTATACTCATCGTACTCGGAATCTTCTCCCTATGCATCATACCATCGCCCGGTCCATTGATCAAGACTGCGCTTGCGACCCTAATAATCGCTGCCCTCATACTGCCCGTCACTCGCCAATTTCTCCTCCCTTCTCTGGCTATATGGTCATGGCTGGTTTTCTTCTATGCTTGCGGGTAAGAACTTTTCTTCTTGTGTTCGCGCCTTTCCATCTCCACCGACCGGGTGCCTCCCCGCATTGTTGCGGAGCGCAAAGCACGGGCTTATCTTTTGAACCACAGGCTAACTTACACTCCCCAAGGTTCATACCGAGCACTTGGCGGCCTCCAATTTGGGTCCGGGTCCTCCCAGCGCTCGAGAATATATTCTACGGGGCCAACTTGAGCAACATCCTCTCGGCACACACGAGCACCTTCCTCAGCATCATGGCATGGCTACCTTATGGCATAATACATTTTGGAGCGCCAGCTGTATGCTCAATTATCATGTTCGTGTTTGCAGCCCCAGGCACGGTGCCCATGTTTGCAAAAAGCTTTGGCTGGATGAACCTCATTGGGGTGGCGATACAACTAACATTCCCATGCTCTCCGCCGTGGTATGAGAACATGTATGGACTCGCGCCCGCCAACTATTCAATACATGGCTCCCCAGCAGGATTGGCGGCTATCGATAAGCTGTTTGGGATCGCACTGTACACTCCTGGCTTTACCGGATCGCCCATGGTCTTTGGCGCTTTCCCTTCTTTACATGCTGGAAGCGCTGTGATGGAAGCACTGTTCATGAGTCATGTTTTCCCCCGACTTACTCCACTCTTCGCGTTGTATACGCTCTGGTTGTGGTGGGCGACCATGTACCTTTCACATCATTACGCAGTAGATCTGGTGGGAGGCAGTCTACGTGAGTTTGCTTGCCCATTGTTTCATACTCTTGCTTACGGACTTTAGTCTCTGGAGTCATCTTCCATGTTGTCAAGTCCAAGTTTCTGCCACGTCAACAGCCAAACAAATTCCTTCGCTGGGACTACGATTTCGTAGAGGTTGGGGACGACCCAGCAGAGAAAGGCTATATAAGTCTTGATTCGGGGACAGAGGACGCTGACGACTGGACCGTTGGTTCATCGTCGTCGGTGTCGTCTGATTCGAGGAGCCCGATCGACGAGAGCGATTCCTGGGAAGGCGCGACTCTGGCTTCTCACTCAGATTCCGAAGCTCAGCGATGAAATTCTTCCGTCATACAACAAGATATCTCTCGGCGCCGTCATACCGCCGAGTTTACGGCTAACGATCACGCATCATTGAACGGGCGAGCGAGCGGATGTATCTTTGTAGACAAACGACAAAGGCTTCCCAACACGTACATACACTGGCCCACTTCTTGGATACGACCGGGCTTCTCTTTATATAATTTTTAATACGTTGCACTAACTGGGCCGCGCCCATAACGCTGCAACCCAGCCTCGCATAGAACAATCCGTTCGTCAGCTAGACATCCGCCTCCATATTCAGAGAACATTCGCTTCTACATACTTCCTGTTCGCTTCAGTAAATAAGGTTCGGGTCATTTCACATAGAGGCCACTGCATTCGCTTGGCAATTGTGCATACGGGATTACATTGGAGCAGTCGTGATAGAGCTGCTCCGGTCTGGGCATTTCGAGACTCGTGGCGAATTTACAGGCGATTTCCGATGCTTTCCAAGCATGATGACATGAAAGGGTTCGAACGTGAAGCTCTGGCATGCAACAGAGATGTCTGATTTGATGTGTACATAGCCTAATAGGTAGTCATAATCAAGGCATCGAACCCCGGACTATTCACCGCTGCGATAAGTCAGACTTTCATAATAAGCAGCCAATGTGGCGGTCTTGAGCCCCAGTATATGATTGAACAAGCTCAAGTAGAATGTTTTTGGTCTGCAAACAAGGGTCAAGTTATCTGACGTGCAAACCCCTGTGCTTTTGCATGAGCCAAGCAGACCAAGTCCTGAGTCTGCCATTTACTCAGTTTCAGCATGGTAAGCGAACCAACTTTTGGCGCTCAATCAAGGAAATTCACCTTCTTTTAATACAATTTTTTATATTTTAGTTTAAGACCAACCTGAGCGTGGAGGGGAACGCGGTAACGAATTCACTCCTTGCCTTTTACCAGAAGTGACCGTGCCGATGTCCCAATTCTCCGATAATCAATCTTTGGAAAACACACTGCTCTATGCAGAAAAAATTTGTTTTTTGTTTTTTAGCTTTATTTTCATTTTTGTTTGTTTGTTGCAATTTACACGGCTCCATTTCAAAGTCGATATGTAGACTTAGACAATAGGTACTCAGTGGTTGACTTTGAAAAAAAGCTCTCGCTTACAAGTAACATGAAAGAAACGCCACTCCGCTTCTACCTCCCTCTCATTACTTTCTCCTTGTCCTCATCACTGAACCCTTTCGAACCCTGTTTCAGCGCCTGGATCAACACCGGCACAGATTCCTCGCTAAAATCGGGGGCATTCCGCAGTTTGTCGATGTCGTCTGCGAACTCCGCCGTGACCCGTTTGATGTAGTACGATTCGAAATCCTCTTTGGGCGGTGGTGAGGCCTGCGATTCGGTCAGAAATCTCTATTCTCGCTTGACGGAGGGGACTTTCTAGAGGATATACCTCCGCTGTGGGGTCTTCTGCTGGACTAACGGGCTCCTCTGACTCCGTGATTGCCCGTGAGGATGTTGCTGGACTCGGGCTCTTGGGCTCTGGCTTCGGTTTCTTCGATTTTCCCTTGGGGAGTATGGTGAGCTAACATTGCAAATTTCTTAGACACTTGTGTGTCTCTCACCATGGCTGGAATATTTTCTCTACGGGTTTTAGAACTCTGGCACAAGAGTGATCGTACTCTAAAGGCAAGGTGTAAAATCATTTACCAAGCTCTCCATAGGGCTGAACAAGATGCTTTACAACCTGCCTTCAAAAACTCCCGACATCAATGATGTGTTCGATCGATGATTTCAGGAAGAAGACGTTTCAGCCGTTGTGATGCTGCAAATCGTAAAGTACCTTGCCATGACTAGATCTCCTGAGCTAGCTATTCCTTCATTCATTCTTCCACTCTTGTTCGTACAGAGTTGTCAGCTTGTCCATGCCAAGGCTACCACCTCAGTGAACCCCAACCCATTGCACCTCATAGGCCGCCAATAGACCCATCTCGATTGCCTCTAGCGGATGACTCCGTCATCGTACGGAAGAGCAGGTCCGTCGACTTCTAGGTTACTGGGGTGAGTGATCCCCACCTTCAAGCTTGCCACTGGAGCCGTCCCTTCCTCTCCCCTCAATTTATGCTGTCGTCGCTTCTCCCTCTCGACCAAAGTGACTGTCATGCACACAACCTGGTCCAGTACTGTTTGGTTGCTGGCATACTGCTCATCGACCTGGAGCTCCCCTAGCACGGTGCCAAACTTGATAACCTTATCGGAGAAGTTATGATCGTTCGAGTAGACGAAGCGAGCGATGAGCTCGTTCGATGGAGCCACTATTTCTACCAGCAAGTTGTCCACTTGCGATGGCTGCCACCAGCCCCATGGCATCCCATCAATGGTTCCGATAGTGCGTTGGGTTTGGTGGTCCTCTAGCCGAAGCTCTTCTACCTTCTTCAAATCGCGATACTTAATCTTGGAGACGGGATTGTGTTTCTCAAAGTTTCCTTCTGCGACCTTCTGAGAGATGTTGTTGTGCTCGCGGGAGATGGCAAGATCAGGCTTGTGTCCTAGGAAAGAGGTGCTGGTTGTTTCGATACTGTAGGTTGGATGGGCTGGGTGCGGCTGGTCGAAGGTAAGAATTTGGGCTTTTGAGGATATTTGCTTCAGATGGAGGGATTGGTAGGTCTTCATAGGCGGATAAGAAGCCTGAGGCGGGTTGGAGCTCGCTTCAGGAGAGCCTCCGTGGAGAGGGTAATTCACGGATGGGAAACTGCCTTCCATAATGACCACTGGGAGGAGATGTGCTTGAGCTTGTTTGTCTGCTTGGTCTTGCTTGCACGGTCATGTAGCTAGTTATGAAATGTTTTATGTCTGTAGGTAGGAGATGATTATGAGAAGAGAGAAATCAGAACGCTCTTATATATGCCACTTTCCTGGTACCGCTTTGACTCGTACAGAGCTTGCTGAGGCATTATCCTCGCTGTCGAAGCCATGAATAGCATCCACGCTCGATCTGCTAGCCCCATAGTGCGGACAAAGCACAGTTGGAGGCGGAGTCACTTGTGGTAGGCGATCGACCACGAGGTGGGCTCGTTGGACCCTGCATGCGGGGCAGCCCTGCACTTAGAGTACTCGTCGCTATTTTCGTCTCGGCAAGCATCGACACCAATAATGTAATCTTACATTATGTACCTTCTTCCCTATCCAAGAATCTCAGAATTCCCTCAGTCATGTATCAAAGGCTTACTCACTTGGCATCTCGCAGCTTTGTTGACCAGCGAGGACTGCTCCGCAACTCTAGATGGCGCAGCATTAGCCCTAGTCATGTTCAGGCATCTATATCGTATCATCGGAGAAAAGTCGCACTTCCTTGACATCTGGAGCTTCTCATCGCTCGCATATGTCTAATCACCCAATGCGATTCGGCGTATACCTCGCCAATCTTCAATGGCCAAACCAATTCAGGCAGGATCGCTAGCATCAGTCATAGAACTTGCAGATAATCCACCAGACCAGCCCCTACACAGCTTAACGGGCGACTTGCAACAGCCGCTTGTGCTCTACATCGCACGAGTGCCTGGATCGCACGGTATTTGCTTCTCGGTACCCGATGCTAGAAACATGGAGCTAATGGAGACGCCAGATGTTTTCCTTACTACCATGAAGCCTCAACAAAAGGTCGTTACCGCCCAAGACGTGCAGAGCTCGCTTTACTACATGCATGTGGACAAGCTAGAAGACTACGAGCTTCTCACCTCCTCTGAGGACTCCGAAAGTCATTCTGACGAGGAGGGTGGTCCTGGAAAGCCTGTAAACCCCACCAGTACAGGTGGTGTCCGGAGGAAACCGCTGCCACCAAGCTCGAGGCTTGGCTTAGGTGATCGTCTTGAACCTCCGACAGAAGCCAATTCCTATTTCCAAACTTATTCCAATAGCGCAACAGGCAGTCCGCAAGCTGAACAAAAACCTTCGAGCCAGGACAACGTGGCCGAGCATCGACGCTTGGATGTAAGCCCACCGCTGCCAGATCGAAAGCTTCTTGGGCCGCGTCCCATGCATCAACACTTTCTTTCCATTGACAATCCACCTCTCCAGGATGTTCCCGAGAAGCAAAATATTGATCTGAGGAGGTGGTCAGAGCAGCCTGCCGGGACACCTCCGAAGTTGCCTCCTCGGCCATTCTCTGGAGGCAACAACAGCGTCCCAATGGCTCCTCCTCGACCTCTTGCAGCGAGCTTGAAAGACTCCCTCGTTGCAAACAGTGTTCATTCTAGATTTTTACACCGCAAACCAATAGCACACTCTGTTTCGCAGGACTCGAAGAGGGTAACGAAGGACGGGTCAAATGCTAAGGATTTACAGGACGCCACGCTGTCATTGATCAGACGCTATAACAACGAGCAATGGACTGTTGGTAAAATATCGAGCAAGGACACAAAGCCTACAGTCAGTGGATTTGGCGAATCCAGCCATGGAATATCTATTCACATTATGACGCACGGATACTTGAGATTCGTTGATCACATCAATTCATTCGCCAAACACACACGTCCTGATACGGAGAAGTCAAAGGGGACTCGTGACAATCGCACGACCATCACGGCTGCAGAAGAGCAACTTTGTTTTCAACGCCATCTGCAAGTACCCGGACATGCAATGAGTTGGAACCAAAGGCGCAGACCCGAATCCATTGACTCCACGTTCTTATATCAGGGAACACGACCAAGCGTCGACCTTCCGAAACACAGCCACCAGAGCTTGGATTCTATAGCATCAGATCGTTCTTTTACAAATGGTTTGCCGGAGTCAAAGTCGGACTCTACAAAGGGTTACATATTAAGAAGCCCTTGGGATGGTATCTGTGAGTTCACGACAGGTGTGGCAGGTCGATCTTTCAAATGCAAGCATTCGTATGCCTCTTCGAGTCCAAGATTTGGACCAGGGATGCGTTCAGCGCAGGTCAGTGAATTGCGCTTCAATCTGCCAAGCTCAAAGACACTCGGATCTCCGGCTTCGAAAAGCCTCGTGCCTGGAACCCGAAGAGAGGCCAAACGCTCGTCCTCTTTGTTCCCGCATCAACATCGACAGCGCTCATCCTCTTCCTTTGAAGCCAAGGATAGGCATGAAGCCGGGTATTTTGCGCCCAAGGTCGAGTTTGAAGAGCGTCTAGATTTGTCGCTTGGGCAAGAGCACGCCGGTGGAGGGTTCGGAGGAAAGCAAGCGAAGTTGGGCAAATTGATAATCGAGAAGGAAGGTTTGCAGATGCTAGATCTAATAGTTGCTGCTAATATGGCTTTGTGGTGGCGAGTGTATGAAAGATTTACATTTACGTGATTGTATCTTGTCATGGAAAGATTACTTACTACATATCCTACTTCTTGTTGGTTGCTTCACCCGCTTCATCCTACCACTATTATTTTATGCGTTGTCGGTTGAGCTGTGCGCTCCACCCTTTGACCACTCTGGTGATTGGGCACCAGCGCCGAAGAGGCTTGGCATTCGAGTTCCTATTCAAGAAAGCTGCATCAATAGCATTCAGGAACCTGCATGAACAGTGTGGCAATCCCATGTCTCAAATTCAATAGCATGAATGCGCTCCACGCTTCACTTTCGGCACATGGTTATGGAAGTTCTCATTGGGCTGGCTTTTCCACAAGCCCACACCGCCTCAACGCATCGACTCTCCCATATCTCTTGAGACCATCACCCTCCTTCCTCCCACCTCGCTCCGAGCATGCCCCCTCCAAGCAAACGCTTTCACCTCAAAACCACCATTGCCCTTGCCAATCCACAATGCTCTCCCTACACTTCAACACGATGATCTTCCTCTTTACCAATACCCTCACCCTCCCTCTCCTCACAACCTCAATACCAGCACCCAACACAAACCAAACGTCAAAAACCCATCCCCCAGCACTAGCCCATCTCCCAACGTCAATCCTCCCGCACGCCCTGGAAGCCGACACATGTCCCACACCACCCACGGAATTCTTACCCTACGCGCCCCCACCCGGTTACACCCCCGCGCCTGGCTGCCCGCTGGCGAGCGAGGGGACGCAGCCGAGTGAGAACGATCCGCCGGCGGGGGTTTACGGGGGAAGTGGGAGTGGGAGTGGGTCTTCTGGGAGCACGGCGTCTGCGGAGACGAGTCAGGCGGGGAAGTTGAAGGCGATGGGTGCGGCTGGGAGGGTTGTACTGGCGGTTCTGGGGTGGAGGGGGTTGAAGTGGTGTGTGGGCTGGGGTGCTCCGTGAGGTGGAAGCTTGGGGCGAGAGCAAACCGTCGTGGAGCAGCTGCCTTGGTTGCTCGTGCTGGAGAGATGGACGTAGAAGGTTAAGGGTTCGTAGATGAGTTAGCGAAATGACAGGTGTCTCGGATCTCAAGCTACTTTTGGTGAGAAAGAAGTTTGGTAGATGCAGTGATGTAATGGCAGAGTACAAAAAGGCGGATTTGGTGTATAGAGCGAAGGTCGCCACTACAATAAAAGACAAGTCGGAACGGCACACATGAGACCAAGTATACAAAGAACCAAATCTGGTCCCAAGTGCTGCATGGGCGACTAAGCACTGCACAATCGCGGTCGGGGAATTTCCTACTTTTCTGTCAAGCTATCTATGCAAGCGTCTATCAGTACATGCATGTCATGCTCGCTCATGAGAAGGAAGGCAATTTTAGAAGGAACGAGGGGAAACATAGTACACTTCGTAGGCTATGGAACCTGTCGTCGACCAAATGACTGGTCGTAGGGCCATAGGAACTGTCATAGGCTCAATCACCTCGAGCTCGTATCGTACAATCCTCCCCCTAACTCAGTAAAGCCTTACCCATTCAGGTATCTAGCTACTCGTGGCGAGAAAAGGATATCCCGTCGATGTAATTATACAGTGGATCGATGCTCCGAGGCAAACGGACGATTGATTCAATAGCGGCTGGGGGTGACCATAAACGGAGACCACCAGTCTCGAGCTGAGAAGGCCATGCAGCTGAAAGTCAAATCTCAATGGTGATACAGTATGTCAAAGCTCGATGGCAGGGCCGACACTGATAGTGGACGTCTATGTTGAAAAGGTTCTGGCACGGTTTGAAGTCGTTCAAGCCGGAGCAAGTGTAAGCGCAGGCTTCGATGCAAGGACAGCCAGGCTGCTCTCTTTCTGAGCCTTCTCTCTCTCCATTTGCTCTTTGGCCGCTTTAGTAACACGTGGCTTTCGCCCTGGCGCTTTCGCTCCGTCTTTGGGGTTCGCAGCTGCTCTCGCAGCGCCTCTCGCAGCCCCTCCTCGCCCACGTCCAGTACCGCGACCACGTTTCGGTGGGCCATCGGCTCTGCAAAAGGTCAGTACATGGTCCATGGACTGGAAAACGGTGGCACGTACCTCTCAACCTGAGGCTCTTGTCCCGGAGGAACCAAAGGACCACTATACACGAAGAATCCGTCCTTACTAGCAGCAGCTTGCTCCTCCCAAATCATCTCCGTGTCGTCGATGAAGTCATCTTCCTTGTCGTACATGTCTTCCTTCATCGTCCTCTTCCTCGGCTTCTTCACCACACCGCCTTCACCAGTCTCCTCCCCAGATCTCTGTATCCTCTCGCCATCATTCACTCCTCCCATTTCGACATTGCTATTGTCAGCTTCCCCGTCGGAGAGATCGACAGACATTTCGTCGCCCGAGCCGGAGTTACCACCACTCTTATTGGCGTTCTCGAGAGCAGCGCCCGCTGCAGCAACTCGAGCAAGTCGTTCGCGCTGCGCTGCCAGGCGGGGATGCAGCGCGTTGAAGCCGTATCGTTCTTCGGCCAAGCGAGTGAAATTGACGTATTGATTTTCGCCAGTGAGAGGCACATTAAGAACGACTGTTGGCGCAGTCTTCTCTGGTCCGGTACTGTCAATGCCACCGCCGAAGATTGAGCCAGATAGAAGACCGCTGCCTGAGGAGATAGCAACCTGGGTCTCTTTGGGACGAGCCGGTTTGGGTGAATGGGATGAAGATGAGACAGCGGTGTTTGCATTCGGGCTTGGCTTCTTGATGTTGGTGCTGGTCTTGTTGACAGGTGCGCTAGGCTCATCTGTGCCGATGTCCATTACGATGATTGTGTTAGAAGTTGATGTATTCGATATTGCAGGGACAGTATTTCTTGGTGAAGGGCCGGCGGGCTGTTGGGTGGTGACAGGCAAAGGTGGAGATAAGCGCGGTCGCTTTGGCTCAGGCGGCGATGATGCTCTGGTGTCATTTTCGCGTTTTGGTGGCTGGAGGTTCGAGTACAAAGGCGGTGTACTTGTTTGCTCGATCATACTATGTATGGAGGGCGAGGCACTCGCGCTGGGAAATTTGTAAGGCCTCTGGGGCGTAGGTGTTGTTACCAATGGAGAGCTTGGGCGAGGCGCTACAGTAGAAGATCTGATTGGGTCGTAATTTTGGCCACTCGCTGGTCGTGTAGTGGGCAGGATATTTTGGTGAGAAAGAATCTGGGTTGTGGGAATAGCTTCACTATTTCCGTTTTGGTGTGCGGGGTGGATAGCAGGAACACCAATATTTGTTGGCGGGAGCGGGGATCTGGGGGGAAGGGACTCAGTGATTTTGAGTTGGCGGGAAACTTGCAGCGCCTCAGCTTCTCTTGCGTTCTGGTTTTGCTCAAGCTGCTTCTGTTGCCTTTTTTTGAACTGTTCTGAAGTACCTCTGGCAGCACGAGTTTTTTTGAGTTTTTGTTCTTGACCATCAGTGGCAGTAGATGCATTTTCATTGTTGTTGCTGTTGTTGCTGTTGCTGTTGCTGTTATTGTTGTTGCCGCTTGCCGGTTTGCTCTCAGGGTCTCTCTTTTTGCGAGGTTTCCTTAGAGGGGCAACTGCAGTTTTAGCGCCGATGGATTTTGCCGATTTCAATCCTCCTCCATCATTTCCTTCAATCTGAACATTTGGGGGCAACGAGGCAGTATTAATATGAGAGTGTGTTGGTGTTGCCGTTTGCCGTGTTGGCGAATTGGGCGAGGGTGGAGATGACAGACCAGGCGAGGTGCTCTCCCCGCGATTTGCATGATTTTCTCTTGCTGCCGACATCTTGCTCCACAACCACCACAATCACCGAACTTTCTGAAGCAAGAAGAGTGAAAAGAAAACAAAAAGGTCACAGGAGGAAAGTGATGTGAAGAGTGTAAGCCTGATAATATATCTGAGACGGCTTTGTTATGGTTGGGCCGGTCACGGTGATGACACGTTGTGCACTGTGAACGTCGCAATAGCTTCCAAAAGTGCGATGACAGGCCTTCGGTGGGTTTGAAGGGGAGTGGGCGACGGATCTAAGGCTTGAGTGCAATCTTGAACTCTGTCTACCGAAGCTCTGGATAGATTAGCCGAGCATACACCTCAAAATTGGGGGTTCCGAAGTATGAAGAAGGCGTGTTAAGGGAAGAATCAGGAAGATGGGCGGCGGATGAAGGAGTAAAAAGAAGAGAGAGAAGAGAAAGGATGAGAATGGTAGAAAAATTGGGGGATATGGGGCTTGGTTCAAATTCTTTGGGCGGAAGGAGGCAAGCACTACTAGGTAGGTTTGACACAGCACAGACGACTTAAAAGCATCGGTAGACTGGGGGGAACACATCATCTGAATTTCTGGATTCTGGACTCTGGATTCACCGTGGAGCTAATTAGATGATTTACTGCCCGTGTGGAATTGGCTCAGGCTGGCTATCTGCCGGCGGCCTAGGAAGGAAAGGAAGGAAAGGAACAGTGTGTGAAATACGTGACCACCTCAGTTGGCCGAAGACTAGAAGGGCAAAGCTCTATCCTCATACACCATCAGACCTCTAATAAGACGCAACCTCGTAACCAAGAACCTAGGGACCCAAGGGGGGGGGGGGAGAGATGGGGGCAAGCCTTTCTTTTGCTGACTCCTTCCAATTTCCAACCAATTACATGGATTTAATCTGTTCGCCAAAGATAGTCCCGGGGTCGTGGCATTTCCTGCAGATCATCATAAGCAGAGCCTCTATCGTCCTTGACGCAAGCATTTCTTGCACCCTTCCAGTTCATCGATCGAGATATCTATCTATATATAGATATCGGATAATCAATATCAAAGATTCTGATAGTCAAGTCTCTGATTGATGCTGGCTTGGATGAGATATCTTGGGTCGTCGTGAAGTGCTTCCCTTCCCGCCAATATGCAGCGCAGGGATTACCTTAGAGAACTTAAGTACTTTAAGAGCTTTGTGGTAGCGTGGCGTCGCGTAAAGCGGCTTAATTCTTTAAAAAAAGAAGAATAACGACTTTTAGCTAGCCTTCCCGACAAACTTTAATTTTCCGTCTTACAAAAATAAGGTACCTTACTTACTTGTACCTAAGCACCTAAGGTACCTTCAGAGTACCTTATTCTTGGAGGTATTCCCTTACCTTTCAATAAGTATATCTACCTTTACTCCTACCAACTCCTGCCACTTCATCAGAAGCTTAGGTTGTGAATATACTACATTAACCAGAAAAGCTCATCTCATCCCTCCTTGTATCTAAACCTCCTCATCATAGATCGGCGCACGAGATGACACGACTTTGAATGGGGAGACGCATAAGGTATCCTTATAGTTGCCAACGCAAAATTTCCTCCAACGGAATCAAGCATAGGAGATGCTCGGGATTGCCTACTACTCCTATTACCATGTCGCTAGATAGATACTCCTTCAAATGTCGTAATTGATACTCTGACAATTGTCCTCGGTTTGAATCCTACTGAATGGTTCGCTCCACATCTGTCCGCTGCAGTAGATTGGAATTCAGTCTGGACTGACAAATTTCGCTCCTCTTTGAACGATGAAGCACTCTCTCAAATTTTGTGCAGAGGTCTAACAATCCGTGAAAACATTCTTGCTGCTGCATCACATGGACGCTGAGGCCTCTAAATTCAGAACTTTTCCGCTCATATACATCGCTCTCGTGCCATACGGGTGCGACAGACCGGCGTCATTTGATCATCTGCCTTGCACACAACTGGAGCGTCACTGACAGCCAATAAAGCTACCTTAGTGAGATTCCCTGTGTGAAGCCAGCACGGCGAGTCACGAAACCTCCACTATATGTTACACGTCAACAATACTTGTATATGTACGCCACCAGGCATCTGCTTCTCCATCTAACTGTCTATAGCATCTGGTACAAACCCGTGGTTGCGCAAACGCATGAGAACAGCCATGTCTCAAACCCCAGAGAAGATGTACGAGGACAACATGCTTTCACATCGAAGATCCTTAGATAATGCATATCGACCGCATGGCCCAAGATGACGAGCATAGGCAATCATTCTCTTTTGTCCCAAGACGACACATGTGGACAGGAGTCTCTCCAGCTCCAAGTTCGCAAAGTATGCATATGGACAGCTGACACTCTTCTCCTGGAGATGGTTACAGCCATGTCATTTTAAAGGAGTCGTCGATATGGACAGCTCACCACTCCGGGGGTAGTACGCATGGACAGCCTCCAATTTCGAACACCACCATCTGAATCCATTCAGGTCATCATACGGACAACATCTCGCTTCAACTCCCGCTGCCTAAACCTCTGAAGATACTGTTCACGGACAGGCTCAGCTTTCGAAACCGCGGATTGGCTCTATAGAGGTCATCATATGGATGGCACCTCATTTCGACTCCCGCCGTCTGCGCTTCTGGAAGGAACACAGATGGACAGCTTACCTATTCTGTTGACTCATTTTGGTTGTGGGAGAATGACAGAAGTGAACATCTTACCCCTGCGAACATCGCTATTGTCAATTGTTAGCACATTGAATATGGACAGCTTCGCTGACTGCTAATATTCCAGCGTGCGTTGCTCCCAGGAGTGTCTCAATCCATACAGTAACATCAAGAACGCGAATAAGCTTGGGACCACCGGAATGCCAAAGGAAAAGCGTTTTCGTCAGAATGAGAAGCGGCTCGCTAAAGCCTATGGCAAAGGATTCCAAAATTGCAATCCTCGGAGAGAAGTCAAGCAGCTCAGTATCACCAACGTCATGAGAGACAGAGTTTGCGCTGTTATTAGGTCTGCCCGCCACGAGCATGAGGAGTACCATGAAGCGGAGGCTCGAGCGTACCACCCATCCATCAAGCACCACCCGAAAAAGTATCCTCGTAGAGCCAGTGGCGGCACAACTAGGTAGATACGAACTATGCGTCACGCGGAGATGTTATGCAAGTCGTCAGAGCGGCGGTCGGGCGTGACCGACCAGCAGCATCTACGTCTCTTCAGCGAAACCCCTTGTATCTCAATCCGAGCCACGAGGAGAGGAAGCCAGTCGAGTGCAACCCGCTGATCATATCCAACAATAGACTACGAGAGACGCCTGGGACAAGCACCCAATTAATGGCGATGGTTGTCACTGTGCTGTCATGGATCTCATGAGGAGCCCCTGCATCAAAAGGTGGGACGAGGTGGGATAATCATAACCCTCATCCAAAGAAGACAAGAAGGAAGGCTGGGTCGAACATTCAGAAGATGAGGAGAGAGACTCAAGGGGTGAATCGGAATCGGCCGCCGATTCCAAGGTTATGGGCAAGAAGGAGACCAAGGTCAAGAAACCCAGGATCAAAAAAACAAAAGAGGATGACATAGACTCCACACCCAAGAAGGACGTCACCAAGTAGAGGAAAGTCAAAGTCATAACGGGAGGGCGCTTTGCTTTCAAGGATCTCATGATGGACGGTGAGAACAACGAGTCGGACGCCAATGCCAAAGAGGAGGCAGTTGGAGATGAAGGGGCTTTTAATGTTCTAGATGACACGGATTGTCGTCATGCTAATGAAGCAAACGGATTTACGGTGATTTAGGCGAAGACAAGATGTGATACCAAAAGCTGACGTGACATACCTGCAGTATTTGATGTCCATACGACACGACTTGCTTACCAGTTTTACGAGGAGATTGCTTTTGACTTTTTGCGGAGACAGAACCTGTCAACGCAGTCTATTTCGTCGTACCTAGCAAATCTGCGGAGGCACCACCTGTTGGCAAGAACTACCCCAACACAACTGGCATTTCTACAGAAACGTGACGTGCAGCTTTGCTACCACTTGGCTTGAAATCTAACGCAACGGAGCAAGGACTTGAAAGACGTTTCTGCGTCCTCGGAGATAGTTCTTATTCCAGTAAATAGTATCATTTCAAAAGCATCTATAATTCTCAGCCGACGAGTGCCCTCCTGATGACACCCTACACGATGATGCCTTTCCAACTGGTAATACCCATAACTCTCATTTCGTCATCGACGCATACCTCGTACGTCCCCCCCGACACGTTGCCTCGACGTTGTTGATGACCGCTGAAACTAGGGCAGCTGTCCATTCAGACGTTTGCACAAATGTCGTCATTGGTGACAGAAACAGGGGACAGGCCACGAGCCAACGGAGGCGAGCTAGCAAGAGAAGACACCGCAGATAGTCGGGAGGGCGAGTGAGGCCTGAATGCGAGTCCATATGGCTGCGGGGTTTGGGATAGGCTAGAGGCAGAGTATGGCCTGAAGCCAGGTCTACCTGGCTGCAAAGCCTTCGGATGGACGGGCTCTTGATTAGCAAGGTCAGATGACGGAAGCTCGTGGCACGACTGGGGTAGGTCCGAACTTGCGATTTCGGGGAGCGCGGGGTGGTTTGGAGGAAGCTCTTGCGGTGCCTTGTCCTCTTCGTGATCTTCTTGAGCGCCACTTGTTGCAGAATAGCTCTCCAGTGGTATTTTATTCTCTATGCAAGGAGCGAAATTTGTTGATCGAGGGGCCCGGATTGGCACTCTGGCCTCTTCACGAGGATTGGCTATTGTTGGGAATTCATGAGATGCTTCGTTCTCTTGGCGAGAAGCTTTTGATACCGTCGGGCTTTCAGGTACAGTGGCTGTGAGATGTAAATTACCGGAACTAGCCGCAATTGTAAGGCTGTTCAGTAAAATACCTTTGATGCTTCCCTTCCCATTTGTTCCAGTTGAATCTGACCCTTTGTACGCTTGAGACTTTAGGCGGCGATATAAAAGTAGCACTCCGATGAAGATGACCCCCACAGCTAAGACGGCGCCGACGACGTCTCCTACTACTCTTCTTGTCGAATTCTTCTGAATGGGCGATGGATTGGTAATGGCAGAATGAGCGGCTCCTGTAGTACGGACTGGAGTCGACGATGCAGCCGTCGAAGTAGAAGATGATGTCGTCGAAGAAGCCGCAGCAGGAGCGTGGGGGATTGCTGAATACAGCGGGTTGTCCGTTTGGTTTAGGGAGAAAATCGCAGCCGTCAGGTCACTAGGCGGACAGCCACCAAGGCAAGGGTTGGACAAGCAACAGCCTAGGAATGGCGGTGATATATTGGCACAAGACCACCAATCACCCCTCGTACATGCTGCCCTAGTAACGTAGTCGTAGTACACCTTTTCGAAACTTGCTGGTAGGAGATCCTCTTGAGGGCACCCGTTGGTGCAGGTACTGGCAGGGCTGCCATTTTCGCAACAGCCAAGGAATCTCTCCCCGAAATCACACGCATAAAACGTGACATTGAAAGGACTTGAAGCGGCGATGCGTGACTTTGCATTCATGATGCAGGGTCGAAGGTTGCAGCTGAACGGTGCAGAAAAGGTAATGACAGCTTGCAGAAACCAAAGTCAATCCCAATGCTGCAGTTGCACTGCGCTATTGACTGTCGGACAGCTGTAAAAGCCAAATGGCGGAAAAAGAAAAAATGGAGTGGTTGACGAGAAGAGACATGCTGTACTCTGCCTGATAAAGTCAGCATGAGACATGGACCATCTGTTCTTTGTGCCTTTTTCCGCGGCTTAGACATTGATCTTAATTTGCAATTATGGACGGGCCTGAGGTTGACCGACAAGAGCTCATCTCCCTGACACCCTCACACAAGCCAGCACTGGAGGGAAGTTGGTGCGGATGGCTGCATTGATAGTCGGTCTTGTGCAGAAAAGCAACTCGATAAGGAAACAACAAGTATGGAGTTCAAGGATAAAGCCCCGAAAAGCCGTAGTCTTGAGGATGAGCATCAAATCTGCTGAGCTCGCCATTGTCGTCATCGGTCTGCGTCACGCTTGTGTGTGTGTCCACAATCACAAGCGGGCAAGCAAGAACAGGATGGAGCAAAAGAGGAGAGAAAACGAGTAAGAGATATCAATGATCGAAGCGCCAATCCGCAGCTTGCGTTCCCTAGCTACTGCATACTCCGCGCTACAATTCGACCTAGCAAGACGGGGATTCGAAGACGCCACCGACAGAATGATTAGCGATATAGGAGAAAAGTGATGAGGACTAGAAGCTCTTTATATGTCGGTTCTTTGCTCTATTCTCTTGATCTGGTAAAAGTAATGGTCCATGATGACTGCTTGCTTGCAAGACCACTGCCCCTAAAGCGAGACTGTTTAGTAATAGCCAGCAAACAACCGAGGGACGGTTTGGTAAGAACAAGGTGAAGCTATATGTCAATTGGTCGTATATGGTGAATAGTACCTTTGATAGCAGATAATTAGGGCATGGCGAAAGGATTAGGAGAGTTTGATTTTAAAGTGTAAGGTACCTTAGGCCTGCAGCGCTAACGTTACGCTAAGCCGCTTTAGGCCGCCAAGCTAGAATCCTGAACAGCATTGACGTCCACCAGTCTGACTTATAACGCACTCGAACATTCGCGATATACAGTACTATCAAGGACGCTGGTGCGGTATAACCACTCTGATCCTCTATACCGAGTCTACCATGGCGGTGCGCGGTCAACGCTTCCATATTACTTTGGACTCAGACGAGGAGTCTGATGGAGTCAACTCCTCCGCACCAGCGCAGGTACCTGGCTTCAATTTTGGCCTTGTAGGAGATATCAAAGAGCGAACGGCCTCGTCAAATGCCAAACCCCCAGCACCACCCAGAAACAAGGGTTCCGAGGCCGGTTTCCCAGCACACAAGATCAGGACTGCTCCCTCGAAGTTCAGGCAGAGGAGAGAGAACCATGCCAAAGAGATCAGCCAGCCAAAAAGACATGCCGGCCCCACCATCGCATCACCATACCTCGCACAGCTAGGGAGCAGTAATGGGAATGGATCTACAGCGAGTCGGCAACAAATAGATGTGACGGACAGATCAAAGGATCCTTCAATCGACCAAGAGAATAAGCAGCGACTCGCGCAAATGTCCGACGAGGAGATCGAAGAAACCAGAAAAGAACTCATGGAAGGACTGAGCTCATCACTCATTGAGAGACTGCTCAAAAAGGCGAATACTGACGAGGGACGAAATGATTCAAAGGGTGAAATAAACCCAAATCAGAACGAGGCACCTTTACCGTCGAAAATGTCCTCGAAGGAAGTTACATTTGAAGAGACAGAAGTAGGAGAGGACCCAATACCTACAATCCAACCAGCGAGACCAAATCCCCCACTGTCCTCAGATCCAGACGCTCCACCCCTGCATCCACCTCCAGACCTACAGCCTGCCTCTCAAACTCATCTACCACCAGCAGCACCACCAGAATTGCATTTCCCCCAACCACCCAAGCCGCCAGATCTCGACCCTTCAGATCCCAACTTCCTCTCCGCCCTCCACTCAAATTATTTCCCCTCTCTGCCATCCGACCCCTCCACCATGGCCTGGATGACTCCCATCGACCCTAAAGTAGAGAGGGGATCTGTGTACTCTGCAACCCAAGAATCTTTTACACCGTCCTCTCTCCGCTTCGATTTCCGCGGCCACCTGCTCCCACCCCGCCTCTCCGCCCAGATCCCTCCAACAAAAGGTCTCCACCATCACGCCCATGCTCCGTCCTCCGCTGGCTATACAATTCCTGAGCTTGCACATCTTGCGCGCAGTGCTTACCCCGCTCAGCGGTGTATTGCGTACCAGACGCTCGGCCGGGTACTGTATAGACTCGGCAGAGGCGATTTTGGGCGGGAAGGGGAGGATTTGTGTGAGGGGCTTTGGGAGCTGATGGATCAGGGGAGGGTCGTTGAGGGGATGGTGGCGGCGGCTGCAAAGGGCGAGGAGGGAGGAAATAGGAGCGTTTGGGTCACGGCTACGGAGGCCAGTTGGTTGTGGCGGAAGGGGGGTGGAAGGAAGTGGAAGGGCAGGTGACGACGCGAGAGGACCACGAATTACGAAGCAATGATTACGACTTCATGAAAGAGAATAATATCAGAAAGTCTTGTATGTTAGGGCATCCTAGCGATGGCTTTGTAGAATTACCATGGTGGGTCATCACCCATAGCTTTGCTGATAACCCTGACTTGTCTCCTGCCCGAGTGGCATGATTGTCCGACTTATTGATAATGTGAAGCGACAGCCCTGCTTTACCCCATGGGTGGGGAGCATCCGTTCATACACGAGCTCACCAGGGATGGGAACGACGAACTGAGGCTGGGGCTCATCTTCTTGGGCAAAAGTCTTCCACGACATAGAGATAGAGAGTCAGTCACACCGTACAAGTGCGAAAACTGATGAATCGGCGTCAATTAGCTGCGAATAGTAGTCACAAGATGCCTTCCGCGCCGACGTATATACGACTTCGGAGAGCCTCCTTTGCCCAAGCGAACCAGTGTTAGAGATCATCAAGCTTGCAAAACGAATGGGACACCGTAGAAAAGCAACGCCGACCGCTTCGGTGCGCCGCCGCTGCAAGAACCTCTCCCTCGACGTAATTATACAATCTCCGTACGCTCGTGTACAGGTTCTCAGCGTGCCAAAGCCCTCACGCTGAGCAAATTAGCCCGGGCTGTCTCCCAAGATCCCCCAATACTTCTCCGCTCTGGTCAGAAGTCAGTACGCGAAGCGGCTCATGACATTGCCAAGAACACTGACCCAAAAGTATCCGCCGAATCGGACTTCCATAGATCATTGTACGAATTGTACATGACCAGATTTGAGCCGCCACCAAAAGCCGCTTTCAAGCTGGCAATGGCCGCAGCTTGATTTTCCGGACTCGGTATAGCTTTGTTGTTTGGGTCTCCTTGATGAGGCCACCCTGACTCTGTAACGATGGTCGTCTTCCCTCCTGCAGCTTCTGAAATTTGCTTGACCCAATTTTGTACAAATTGTCCCGCGTCCTCGGGCAAGGTATTGCCGTCGAAGAATGCGTGACAATTGATGGCACAGAAGTCAGAAGCGGTGCAAAGTTCAATGTTGTTTTTCATGGCCACTAGACGATTTCAAGTCAGTATTTCGTCCTCGATATGAAATTCGGACTAGAAAGACTTGATTCTAGACTTTGATAAGAACGTTCTCCTGCGATATCTCGGACGAATCGAAGTGCGGTCCCAAATGAGACGGAGAGCCTCGAAAAGCATGCTTACTCATAGTATCAACTGTAGCAATTGGCCCGTTATAGCCAGCAGCCTTGAGGGCAGCCTTAGCAGTGCCCTGGAATGTGATTTTGGAGTCAGTATTGCTTGTTTGATCGGTGATATCGAGCTTTGAAACATCTTTTGAGAGTAAAACCTCCCAAGACATGTCTCAAGACACAGGATTTGGTCCAAAAAGAGGACATGGACTCCGAGAACACGTACAATGGCGGCAACGACTTGCGATGCAGATGCCTGACCCGTGTTCACCAGCTGTGCAAATTTCGGAGTCAGTATTGCTTATACGAGGTAGGGGATGAAAGACAGATCTTGGGAGTAGAAGGTTCTCTTGCTCCCGAAACATGTCTTGCCACTCAACTTCAATACAAAAATAGGAAGAATCGGCTCCGAAATACACGTACCTCGTTGCCAACACTAATGCTGTTCACGAGCGACCAGTCCCCGTTGACGGCCTGTCGGTCATGCCGGAGTCAGCATTTCTCCACAAAACACATATTGAATTACGAGACAGGTCTTGTAAGCAGTATCGAAGACGAAGCACATGTCTTCAACTCGAAGTATGTCCTGCGACTAAGGAAATTATACATATTAGTCCAAAACAATACGGAAATAACCTATACCGAGGATATAATTTGAACTTCGCTTTGTAAGGAATTGATATCGAAGATGCCGAGAAGAAGTTTGACGCTACTGTGCGTAGCAGCGATTACATTGCTAATTTGATTGCAGTCTGTTCCATACAACCGTACTACCTCATAGCCGCTGATTTTTTGAAAGTCAGCCGCCACTTGTGAAGCGCTTTTGCAGGATTGATCGGCGTTGTATGCTTGATGATTCCGGAGTCAGCATCACTCTTTCGGGAGGAATCTGAGTCGCGAGACATGTCTTAGGAGCGAAGAACTCTTTAGACATGCCTGACAACTCATGAGACAGCATGAATGGGGAAGAATTGCCTCGGAAATTATAACGTACGCGTGTAAGCAACGGCGGAGCTGAACCCTGGACCACCTGAACCAGATTCTTCGGGGCTTGGGTTTTGGCTTGGATTAGGTGAAGGCGCTGGGGCCATTGCTTCCGTGGGTTGAGAGACCGGCGATGGGGCTGGAGCTGGAGTCGACGGCTTTGGCTTGGGAGCTACCAAGGGCGAAGAGGGCGATTTCGAAGGAGGTGCTGGAGGGGTCGAAGGCGATTCTGGGGGAGGAGCTGGAGTGTTAGAAGGCGACTCGGCGGGAGGCGCTGGAGGGTTAGAAGGTGTTGGCGCCGGGGTGTGCGGCACAAGTCCCTTGTACACTGTGGTTGTAGACACGGGTTGATTTGCGTCGTTAACGTACACGATTACGTCTTCAGAATCATAGGTGACATATTCTATGTCAGTGACAACGTCGGTGACAACATCTGAACAGACATCCTGTCGTTTTGCGTGGTGATGTTTTAGATGGTCTGATCATGGCAAGTCAGCACCTTGTCCCGGATGCGGAATTGGCCAATTCCATACCATGAAGTTGCGCCGTAGATAGCCGTAGCAATGCTGCGCAACCGATTATGAGAAGTCCAGCCCTCATGGTGTTCGAACGCTCCTGCTCGCGGAAAACGTGTATCAGGCCTCAAGTGTCCAGGCTTGGGTGGGATGTGCAGACGTTGTCAGCGTTAGCGATGCAGGGACGCATTGAAATAGTCCGGAGTATTAAGTGAATAGGGACAGCCACCGTCTTTGTTCTGTAGCAGAAAGGAACGGGCTTCGGCTTAAAGAGAGATATGTTTTGATAAAATTAGTTCGACGAAAGATTGAGAGGAAGCGCGTCAACGCGACGGTTTGCTTGCCCAGAGAGGCTTGGGTGCAGGGAGGGGTGGTGGATAGTGAGGAGGCAGTCAATGGCCTCAAGGGGTGGCTGGTGTCGACCGTGCTAATCAAAAGAAGGTGGATTGCGTATCGCGCTCACCTCATACGCATGACGAAGTGACGATTCGCAGTTGAATATATCAGACGTGGTAAATAAGTAGGCAAATGATGGAAGGAAAATGAGAAGAAGTGTGAGTAAGGTAAGGTAGGTTACAAAAGGGTCGCAAACCTCCTTCGTCCTTTGCGACTTGCGACATCGTTGGCGCCGCCCCCTCCCCCAACCCGTCCCTCTTTCGCGCTTGTTCCAAATCACGATATGAATACCTAAGTAATGCGAGCATAATTGCAAAGCTTTCCGTATTCTATGCCTGACAATTGGAACTATCAGATGTATCCTTCGTGGCCTTGGGGAGAGCACTCCGCTCTCCTGCAAACGATTTATCTCAATCAATTCCGTCTCCAACTTCCCGACGCGGTATTAAACAAGACGTGCCCTTTCGCATATTAGCGATCCTATCCTACTGAATGATTGATCGCATGAAAGCTCCAAAGTAAATTGGCAAGCCTAGGCCTGTTGGATGGTGACGGGCAGGAAGAAAGGGTGCGTACTGGACAGAGCAGTGATGGTAAAATTCTAAAATTGATAGTCCTGAAAAACGGCGGCACGGCGCGCTTGCGAGCCAATGATGAGATCCAGGAACCAGGCCATCCTGATAGGCTAATAAAGTAAAGTAGGCTGGCTGACTGGCTCACTCGCCAACATCAAAAGGAACCACCTTGGCCTTCAAAGGCCAGGGAAAAGGATTACCTATGTTATTACCAGAATTGCTTTGCAAAGGGCCACAAGAACATCGAATCAAATCACACATGATGATGATACAGTATATAAAATATTAGACATATGATCCAATCGTCTCCGAGAATGCATATTAATAACAAGAAGCCACCAGATGATGACCCCTATTGCCTTTTCTCCCCTTCCTTTCCTTTCCTTCCTTTTATCGCCGTTTATTGACAATTTTAGTGACTGCGTGTCTAATGGTAATCCCAGCCCGCTCAATCTCCTTTTTCGAGAGTCCAGACGTAACGCAGACCTTCAGTGCCGGCTGAAGCTCCCATCCGATGTCCTTGGTCGTTGCATTGATTGCTCGCGGCATACTCTTTAGCCTCGTTATCAGTACCCCGTTTGCCAACGTCTAAGAAGCTGATCAGTAATGCTCTTTGCCCTTTGCGCAATCCTGCATTTGACGTACTTCATCGACAACTTCCTGCAAGAGCTGCTCCTGATCTGCTATCCTCAGTTTCTTGCTGGCAATCAAGTCCGCCTTCAACGTCAGGACTATGATTGGATTCTCAGCAGAGCTTGTACAATGTACCCAATCACTCCTAGGATCCAGCTGCGCCCACATGGTCTTGATGTTCTCCCTGACTGTAGTCAACATCTCCGGGTTCGTCTGCAGCATTGACAAGACTTCGCTTGCAGTGGTAGCAAGCATTGCTGGGAGGGCAGCCGAGAACGTGTACGCAGATGCTGAGATCCGCTGATGCTCCACGATAGCATCTGAGCCTGCGCAGAAGCCGCCACCAGCACATAGTGGTCCCGCCAAAGAGCCAACGATCATGTCAACTTCCGCAGCGTCGACGTTTTGGTGCTCGGTGATGCCTCGACCAGTCCTACCCAAGACGCCGAAAGACCAGGTCTCGTCCAGAATGAGTCGGAACTTGTACTGGCGGCCAAGCTCGATCTGCCACGTCCGGATAAGCAGGGAAACAAGAAGCAAGTATGTAGGACCGACGTACGATCTTGGGCAAGTCAATCATATCTCCTATATTTTCGAAAAGCCCCTCCGTAATAATGAATCGCCGGGTCAGCGGCTTCTTCGCCTGCTCAGTCACAACATTTTCCAGCACTCGCTGCAGGTCATGCATATCATTGTGTTCATACCACCGAATTGTGCTCCGCGATATCTGAATACCCTTTCGAATGGCATAATTGACGGCTCTGTCCGCGACGATGATATCGCCTCGTTTCGAAAATGCTGATATGACGCTCGAGATTGTGGAGAAGGCCTGGGCGTAGACTATGCATGCTGGTGTGCCCAAATGTGCTGCTATATCTGCTTCGGTCTTGATATGTACATCTTGTGTGCCGTAAAATCCTGGAGGGCTGCAAGGACCAACTCCGTAGGTGCGAAGGACTTGAATGGCTTTCTCTTTCAAGGTCTCATTGCTGATGAGATTGTAAAAGTTGTAGGAAGCAAGATTTGTGACCGTACGGCCATTTGAAAGTTTTGATTTCGGACCTGTGGGTCTTGATACCTGTCAGTTCTACCAAAGAATTCATGACTTGTAGATGTCCATGTTGCATTTTACCCAACAATCACAGGCCTCTTTTCATTCTCTGCTTCTTCGAATAAGGTAAGAGGTGCTACAAGAGGTTCCGGGGTCCATTCGTCAATTAGCTCGTCAACCTCCTTTAAAGATGTCAGCAATTGGCCGATGTCGGAATGGAGGACGACGAGCCTCTTCTGACAGCGTCACGAATGATTTCTTCTGCGTTGAGTAGGCAGGCGCAGCGAGGTATCTGATAGCGAATAGGACAAGGAAGAGCTCGACAGCAGACCTCACGGGGTCGTTCTGGTAACTTGACTTGACATATCGTAGGAATATCGCGGAGCCGGGGACTTTATGAAAATGGATGGACGCTTCCATCAAGATATCATTGAGCCAGCTTTGTACGTCTTGCAAGTCCATCGTGCCATGGAGAATGCCAATTGAGGGGGAAGGGGAAGAACTGATGTGGACTTCTATACCTTACTTTACTTGTAGACATCGACCAAGCAATCAAGCTTAGCGCTCAGCCCTACAAGCGTTGGCGTCAGCAAAACAAAGCCTTAAATCTCCCAAGCTAGTGAGGGTCAAGAGTACGAGTAGGTACATATCTGACATAGAATGTGTCGATTTGCATGGGCAGATGCGAAAGCATGGGCTCTAGTTGTGCTAAGCGTCTACCCCATTTATTCATTAAATTACACGAATGGATTCCCTGAAATGCATTGCAATGCTAGCCATTCGAGGCAAAGCACGTCCATTACCAACTAGTAAAGCTAATCTTCCGCTGCCGCAACGTGTAGAAATGCAAGGTTGCTGGAAGAGTACAATCATGTGCAGAGAGCACCAAACGAGTGACATCATCTATCCCATGCGCCCAGGTCCCCCAGCCAGGAGACAGACAACACTCCGATTGATATGCTGTCATTAGTCTGCCGGATACGGAGACAAGCCTCAGGCCGAGTGAAGTATTTGTACAATTTTTTAATGAATCGTCAATCTTGTTGCTTTCAAGCAATTGCCACGGTCATTACGAGGATGACGAAGATGTTGCCGCTGCACTTGCACTCGCACTCGCCGCGGCACCCAGCCCGTTGAGGGCAGAGCCCGTCACTCGGTTACTGGTGTCATTGTTGTTGAGGCCAGTGGGTTGCATGAGTTGCAGGGGAATACTCAGGTTGCCGAGGTACTTCCCAGCGACAATTGGTCCGACGATCAAAGCCATGAATATGATGAACATGAAGAAGTAGAGCATGGCGAAGCGGATGACTCTACGCTTGCGTAGCTTCGATTGCTTTAGTGAGTAGATTGGAGGTCGGATTTGACGACTGGAGAAATATTAACATTTCGCAGCTCCAAATTCGAACTCTGGAAAGACTTACCTTGGTCGAAGCCAGAAAAGCATGACGGAGTGGATTTTGTCGATGTACGGCAATGCAATGACCGGAAGCATTATGAAGAGGAGTAGGTGCCCAAGGATAAAGTCTGCTGCAAAGAGGCCGAGTTCGGTGATCTTGCAGAGAAATTCTCTCCCAGGCTGAGAGAGCGAGTGCCATCCCATATTGTACCATTTCCCAGTCCACCAAGCAATGTTCGAAGAATCGGACTTGAACTCACGAGTAAGAGCAAGGGCAATTATTAGCTTCAGGATGAATCTCTGGAGCGCAACGACTGCAATCATGCCAAGCAGCGCCTTCGCGAATACAAATCCCTCGAGGAAGAACATGACTTCAAAGAAAGCGAGAAGCACGATGACAGCTATACCATGAGCAATGGCAGCGAGGACTGATCCAAACTTTTTGCAGCACATGCTGAGGAGGGGTCCCATGCAGCAAGCCATTCCAAAAAGACCTGCCAAGACTCCAGCGTTTATTGCGATTGGCGCAAACGCAACAGCGGCGACCCGAATCAGGGAATTGGTGGCCGTAGTGTCTTTAACGCCAGTTTGTGCGTTAATGAAAAGGTAAGGAATCAGCGTTGAGCCCACAAGTAGCAATGGACTGATGATTTCACTGAAGAAAATGTTGGTGAAATGAGCACGTGGTGCGTCGCCAGAGAGCTTCGATGATGGTTCTCCGAGTGCTTTTCGCTTGTAACCAGTGAGACGAGTTCGCGATAGGCGGCAAAAGGCAATCCACGAGGATGCATGAGATCTGGAATTGCCGCGAGACAGCCATCTTAGGAAGTCACGGTAGTCAATGAAGAAGTCGTTCCACGAAAACTGGTGAGGGTTGAAGAGGAAGGGACAGACGCAGAAGGCGAGTAAGGACACCCAGAAGTATATCAGCTCAATTCCCCAGATGGTCAAGGTGGCGAATAGCAACATCATTAAGAGTCGCGAACCTAAGTAGATTGAGGGACCAGCGAATCTCGAGTATAGGACGCCGAAGGGAATGCGAGCGGTTGCAAATCCACGGCCGGTTCCTATGTAGCGCGCACCGCCGTAAGAAAGGTCCTGACTGAGGGAGCTGGCGTAGATCTGGCAAACAAACACTTCGAACAGAGGCGAGAAGGATGAGAAGTGTTTGGACAACCGAGTAGCTGCACGCCAAAATCCTCGTTCTGTAAGCTCCTGTACAATGAGAGGTATGAACGAGATGAAAAACACGATGAAAATGGAGACAACGCAGCGGTACACCCAGTCGAGGATGGGAACAAGGTTGGCGCATCCGGTGGGCTTCAAAGGATCAGTGATAGGCTTATTCCTGTCGTACCTGCAAATGATGGTTTCGTGGCGGAGAGCTCCGATGTTAATCAAACAGATCATGAACATCTGAAGCGATGAGATGATGAACAGATTGTTGATGTGGAAACCAGGATGGGCGTAGTAGAACGAGAGGAATCGGTCCAGCGGAAGCTGAGTGCCAAGGTAATAGTACTCCCTGGAGAGCATTTGCTCGCCCATACCAGTACCGATCTTTGTTGTGAAGTTCAAGATGGATCCAAACCCAAGATCACGACCCTTTCCACATTGGTAATATTCACAGTGCTTTATGCGCCCACCCCGAAGCAGAGCATTCATACCAGCGTAAATATCTTCGTTTAGGTGCAGGCCTTTTTGCGCCTTGGAGACACCACCCCGAGTACTCATAAAGATACCATTGAGGAAATCGGGGTGACCGTAATGCAATTTTCCACCAATCTGGGCCAGAGTTCGCGAGAAAAGAGTACCGAAAGTCTGTTCCTTTCCGGCAGCGACATCTCCTAAGATACCAATGTTCTCGGAAAAGATGTATTCACGAGCACCAAGGATAGCAACAGGGGCGACATCGCTAGCTGGCACACCGGGGGAGTATGGGGAGACGTTGTCAGTGGTCATCTCTTCGAACTCAGCAAGCACACTACGGATCTTCAAACATTCTTCGAGATAGTTGTCTTGATTAGCGTCGATCAACTGAATGTATTCTCCGCGATAAAATATTAGTGCATGATTTTGGTTGTCCGATTTGCCGTCTCCCAGGATTGGGTTGCCAGACAGCTGTATCCGAAACTTGGGACGACGCATGCCATTGTCCATGAGCTCAGAGTGGCCGTCAATCAAAGCCGAGTAGAGACGCGGCTCTTCACCTTCATTGACAGGAGGTTCCTCGTCAAGATACGCAATTTGCAGGTCAGGGTAGGCTCTGAGGAGGAACTCCGTGTTCTCGCGCTCTTCCTTGTTGAACTTGGCATATCGCTGCATAGAAACAACGATCTTGAACTTTCGGCGAGCCATGCGCTCCAATTCGCGCTCTAGTTTTTCCGAATTGCCTCCAAACATTTGCACGACCTCGGGATTTTCGACACGGTAAAGTAGTTTGATTGCACGGCTGTAGTTCATGAATCCAGAGATTGTACGGTAAAGCGTTTGAGAGCGCAATGAAGCCCAGATCCGGGTCCGCAGGGTATACTCCGGAGCAGCCGATTTGAAACCGATGCAGTAGAAGGGAAGATCGTCAATCTTGCTCTTAGCAGTATCCTTCTCGGATTTCTCATAGTCTCCGTTGAATTGAGATGTCTCATCAGCTAGAATCTTGGTGTCCTTGACGAAACAGTCCCATTCGTGGGGATGCAACTGCTTGAGGTATTCGAGTAGAGTCACTCTTGAGTAGGGCTCGTCTTCGCGGATAATTTCCCGCAGAGAAAGAAGGATCTTCTCACCGTAGTGGGGAATCAGCACGGTGAAAGTTGGCATGTTATCAACGGGCAACGGCTCCGGGATGGGCGTGGACAGCGATTGGGCAAAGAATGAGATGCGGCGTTCGGCCTCGCTCTGTGTTGGAAAGAATTCCGTCTTGAATGAATGGTCCTCTTGAGACACAAAGAATGTCGGTGCACGTAAGGTCCTCTTGCCTTCCTGTTCCGAAGGCACCTGGTGGTAAAGCAGCTTTTGGACATGATCGATGGCCAGGAGGTGCTCTCGATACATGGAGATCACTATGGCGTTCCAGATCTGAGATATCAGCACCTTAGGCTTGTATTTGATTTCCATGTCGGTCGTTGCAAGGATCTTAGAGTAGACTCGTTTTGGCAGGCGAGAAAAGATGTTTCTCCAAGGAGTCCAGATGGAAACACCTAGGTAAAAAGACCGAGCCACGGAGAATACACAATTGAAGATGATGTACCAAAGATATGTGTCGAGGAAGAACAGACAGATGTCAGTGACAAACATAAGACCGAGCGTGATCCTTGGTTGCTGTTTGCACAGAACGTCGCCAATGATTTTATCACCCACGCATCTGCTGATCTTCATCTCGGACAGAATGCGAATAGGGTCACGGAACGACAATGTCAGGAAGAAGTAGGACTCAGAGAGTTTGGCTGTGAACACCAGAACCCAGAGACCATAAGACATCCACATGTCATTGCCCTTTAGGTGAGGAAAGCTTGCCGTGAAGGTCTGACTCGCCACGTATTGCCGGGAGTTTTTCTTCATGTAGCTACCAAACAGGCCACCAAGTGGCATGAAGGCGAAGAAGACGAACGTTGCAAGGGCGACGAAGAACTGAATAACACCGAGGATATGGGCGATCTTAGTTGAGTCGCTGACGCCGAAGATGTAAACACTGGGCGCGATGTTAATGACGAAGATGCCGATCAGGAAAAACAGACGCTTTGTCAGATGCTGCGCGCCAGCCCATCGACGCGGAACGTACATCCATTCAGCGACGGTAGCAAGGATCATGATCAAAGAAGCAAGTGTACCTCCGAGTGCAACAGCGGACCAATTAGCTGCAGGCTTCGGTGGATTGTTTAGTTGCTGTTGGTAGTGCTTGGTATAAAATGTTGGCGAGTTGTGGGAAGTGTAGAACCAGAAAGCGGTCAGATGGATGACCCAGATGCGATTGAAATTGACGAGTAAGTGGAACCAAGATCTTGTTTCCTTGTAAGTCTTGAAGAACACCTTCTTCCACGTCACCTGGCTGAGCTTGAGATAGCGCTCCCCGGCTGGGAAATCCACGAGTCTGGTCTTGTCTTCCATAACGATCCTTTCAATGCCTTCAGGATACCAGAAAAGTTGGTTGATGTCATCGTAACCGATGACGCTGCTGTGATCTTTCTCCCGTCGGACATACTTGCCATCCAGAATCTCGTACCCTTGATCTCGGCAGTACTGGTACAATGGGGTAATAACAGTATTGAGGTAGGTGAACTCCTCAATTGGTTCCACTCGATTTTGACATTCGGGAGTCGCAAGATAGTCGAGGGCACACTTGTAGATAAAGCACAGACATTCGGGCATAAAGCGGACCTGATTGGCTTCACCCCAGCAAAGCAGATATAAAGCCACTTGCCGGACACGATCGTGCTGTGACATACGGTTCATGCGTGTCTTCCATCGGTACTCTGCAGCCTCCAGACTGTTATCGCCCTCGAGGCTCTCGAGCGTCTGGTCCTCATTCTCAGGTTCCTTCGAGGCTGCTTTCTTCGCTGCCTTCCGTGCTTTGCGAGTCCGTCGGTTAGCCTTGCCAAGTTTCATGTTTGCGAATCCAACTGCATCGTCCAGATCTAGATGTGCCGCAAAGTACCAACGCCGGTAATTGGCATTGTCGCCACCAATGTAGTCGGCGTGGAGAGACAGCAAAGCTTGGTTTGGCGTCATACGAGACGCACGAGAATCAAGTAGAGTCATGAAATGATCATACATGTTCCTCATGCTGTCACGCTGGAAACCGAATTTGGCAGTCAAGTCCATGAATATGTCTTCAACTTCCTCCTTTGAGACAGGGATTTGAGCGTCCGAAGTCCAAGCAGGATATGGCTCGCGAGATCTTTGACCGGCAGGCAGCGCATTGCCGTAGTCCATTCCATAAATAGGAGTTGACGCTCCAGACGAGCGGTTGCCTCCATACGAGATCTGTGATGAGGCAGGTCGATACGTACGCCCTCCGCCTTGACCCTCATTGTAGCTGTTGTAACGCTCATCGCCACGGCCATAGTAGTCCATTTCAGCAGCCCGAGCCATGTCGGACCTCATTGTGAAGTCGCTGAAGGTCTCCGAGTCTTCTTCTGAATCGTGACCACGGCGCTTTGGTTTGGCTCTGCAGATTGTAAGTAGAAATCTCAAAGAAGATAGAAGAAGCACAAACCCATAGCCGCCCTGACCATACTGGGGTTGCTGCCCTGCAGCTGGCGTTCCTTGGTCGTAGTATTGATCGTTGTAGTACTCGTCTTGGTAGCCTTGCTGATGACCTTCGTAGTAGCCGCCGTCCTGTTGGAATTGGTTGGTGGCATCGGCATTGTAGTATCCCCTGTCGCTCGTGAGCAAAAAGTGTGCCAATGTTTGAAGTGCAAACTCACGACTCGTCATAGTAGCCGCCATTCCCATTCCCATTTCCTTGCTGCTGGTGTCCATAGTCTTGCGGCGGCTCGCCATGCTGCGGATATTCCTGCTGGTCGTAATAGCCTTGATTGTGCTCGTCCTGATAATATGAATCTGTGGCTTGATGTTCATGGCCATAGCCATCGTCGTAGTGGTCTTGAGGATGGCCCGACATGATTGAGGATGACCGAAAACTCTGAGAATGTGCCTGCATACCGTTAGACGACGACTAGATTGCAAGACGGGTGGTAGTGAAGACAAAGAGAAGGGATTGGTAAGACAAGGAATGTGGATGCAACCAGAGACCTATGGACGCGGAGAATCTTACCTCAAAAGCTACCCATTGAACACAAGAATGGAATGAGATTATAAAACGGTAGGCTGGTGATGGGTTGATTGAATATGACGATCAATCTGTCGCGTGCAGTTTTGTTTTGCCAACCTGAAACTTGGGTACAAGAAGCGAATGAAAAGTCTGATCCACCCCACAACTATTCTTGATTATTATGGCGACGATGTCAGATTGCTTCTATCGAGTGCTGAAATGATCGAGGATGGATGAGGTTGCTGATTGACTGGTGTGGTGTTGATAACGAACGTGGAGGAAGGACCAGGCAAGTTGTTTGACTGCGCAGTTGCTCCGCGCTACCAAATTTTGCGGTGTGCCTTCCAACAGGTCCAGTGAACGATACTGCTGACCTTTTCTGCCAGTGACAACCCCGAGCGAGCGACAGATATCGCCAGCAGCAATGACAGGCAGATCGATTGAGGTGCGGAAGTAAAGAGAGACGGTGTGAGGGTAGGAGAAGAATAGAAGGGGGCTTGGTAAGAAAAGGGAGAAACAAAGCACGGCGATACCCACCAGGATTTTCCGCTAAGCTCAGGTGGATTATCACACCCTACAGAAGCTGTTGTGATTGGCTGACGCTTGTACTGATGTAATTTGTTGACTTGTGTACCTTACAATATTACATACCCCAAACCTACTGCCTGTACGGAGTAATAGCGCCCACCAGAGCACACACAAAGTACATACTTATTAGTCGGTTCCCACAATGCCAAGGTCCTTCCACGATATTGACTTACTGTTCATGTCGATTCCGACGCACATTAGGGCGACAACTCTTCTCCAACCGAATAGGAAGGCGGAATGTAGAGTTTGCGAGGTCCGGATATACATGGTAATTGATCCCGCCAGTTTCGACGGCCACAAGCTATAAGACATCACAGCTTCCAAGATGCACGGATTCTACGACTAGCTAGAAGAAGCCATTATGATGCCCTCCTTCTCTCCTACCAAGTTTTCTAATCGGTATCTCTCTTTATGTTTGGTGAGCAAATCGAATGAAGAAAATGGTTGGACCGGTTGATAGGGCAGCGAAATCGAAAAGGGGATAAAAATAGTTGTTGGTGGCAAGTCCTTGCTGGGATCATCGCGAAGATCATGGATAAGGGGCACCCACCCCCAGTCTCACGGCCTATCTGCTGCCATGAATAGATTGGAAATTTACAGCCGCTGAATTACAGTACATGTATGGTATCTCGATGATCACGGTTTTCAATACTGCTGACTTGCTCAATCCCGTGAAGGTTTATAGGGGGCTCAGAGAGCTCTTGCTCCGGTTGCCGAGAGAGAGAGAGAGCGATGCTGGCTGCAAGGCCACGTCCGCACCGGCTTGTACGCGATACACGCTGGCTCTTGATATTTATGCCCTAGACTTACCATCCACCGGTCACCGTAGCAGCAGTAAGGTAACTTTACCACTTGGCAACGGTTGCTTGTCCTACCCGTATGAGCTTATGCACGTGACCTGTGTCTATTTTTGGTGGGCATGCCCTTTATTTAGCGTGAAGGCTTGCGTGGCTCGCTCAGGAGGAGGCAAATTGGACCAACCTACCTAGGTAACTCACCAATGACCTACCTACCTTACCTATTTTGACTTAGCTCAAAGACGAATTACGTGCCGTGTTTTAGAGGCTTAGACGCCGACTTCTGCGGCAATGGCATAGGTGTTTCGAAGTCAACACTACTTAGTACTTACCTTGCTTTACTACTATTCAAAATTCCTGCCAAGCCCTCTCTTCTCCTCATTACTCACTATCATTCTCTCACCACTTCCCATCTCTCACTCATACCCTCGTTTGTCTTCTTGGTCTCAGGGCGACACTTCATTGAGGCATTGGGGAGGGGCCGAGTCTCTCGTTCACCTGCACCTTCCCACTTCATTGTTAAGTGTTTGTTAATTCCTTTCGGGCGCAGGACAACAGGACACGCTCGACTCTTGCATTGACATCAACAACAACAAATTCATTCAATCATCATCCACATCTCCTTCTTCATCGCTACACCCATCACTAGCAGTCATGAAGGGCCTGGGAATTGCGTCGGCGGGTATCGCTGCCGCCACATGGTTCGCGGCGTCAGCGGTGGCTCAACTTGACCCGATCGTGATCAAAGTATGCTCTTTCCACTAGCTTTCCTCTTCCTGCTTCTCGCTGACAATCTTTTGAATCGTTCAGGGCTCCAAGTTTTTCTACAAGACAAACGGCACTGAATTGTAGGCAGCCCCGTGGCAGTACAAAAGGAGCGTGCTCACCACTTTGCCCACAGTTTCATCAGAGGCGTGGCCTACCAACGTAAGCTCACCGAAACCACCGTCCACGCAAATCAGCTCTGACTTGCATTAGAGGATTTTTCTGGCAACGGGTCTACAACGACGACCACTGGAGGCACTGGATACACAGACCCGTTAGCAAATGCTACGAATTGTGCACGCGATATTCCTTTGCTACAAGGTCTCCAGACGAATACCATCCGTGTCTATGCTGTTGACCCAACACAAGATCACTCCGAGTGTATGCAGATGCTCACAAAGGCTGGGATCTATGTCATATCCGACCTTAGCGAGCCTGCCGTATCTATCAACCGAGATACGCCTGAATGGAACGAAGCAATTTATGACCGATACGCCAGTGTTATCGATGCTTTTTCGAACTACACCAACACCATTGGCTTCTTTGCCGGCAATGAAGTGTCGAACGCTCCCAACAACACCGCTGCAAGCGCTTTTGTCAAGGCCGCCGTTCGAGACATGAAAGCTTACATTGTTAGTAAAAACTATCGAGCCATGGGCGTTGGATATGCGTCGGACGATGATGATACTCGGATAGAGCTTGCAGATTACTTCAATTGCGGCACTGCCGCGGAAAGCATCGATTTCTGGGGTTACAACATCTACTCCTGGTGCGGGCAATCTTCCTACAGTGCCTCTTCCTATGAGGCTCGGACTCAGGAGTTCTCATCCTACAACGTTCCTGCGTTCTTTGCTGAATACGGTTGCAACAAGGTTGAGCCGCGACCGTTTGATGAAGTGGGCACACTTTTCGGCTCTGATATGACTCCCGTTTGGTCTGGCGGGATTGTTTACATGTACTTCCAGGAAGCTAACGATTATGGTAAGCTCTGTGCTTCGTGCTTTTGTCAATGGTGCTGATTAAAGCAGGGCTCGTGACAATCGGCAGCGACAACAAGGCTACGACGTTGTCCGACTACGACAATCTCTCCACTGCGATGGCCAAAGTGTCACCAAGTGGCGTCAACTCAGCCTCTTACACGCCTTCCAACTCTCCCCAAGCTTGTCCTACAACCAGTACCTGGCAAGCTGCAACCAACTTACCTCCAAGTCCCAACGACGCCATTTGCCAATGTATGGTCCAGAATCTTACTTGTGTTGCCAAATCTGGCCTCAGTGAAGATAGTATAACAACTCAGTTCAACTACATCTGTGATCCCGCACAGGGCAACAATTGCGGTGGTATCCTTGCCAACGGCACTACCGGTGTGTACGGCGCATTCTCTGGGTGCAGCGACAGCGAAAGACTCTCTTATGCCTTCAACCAATACTACCTGAACCAGACTGCCACAAACACCCAAAACACAAGCCCTTGCGAGTTTTCTGGGACTGCTCAGAAGGTCACCCCTAAGCTTGCCTCCAGTTGCAAGGCCGTTGTAAGCCAGGCGGGCTCGGCAGGGACTGGCTCTATTACGAGCACGCCTACCGGTGGTAGTAGCACTGGCAGTGGCTCTAGCCCTGGCACCACTTCTACCAGCAAAGCCGCCGCAATTATACTCAGTGTGCCTACCTTCGACTTCGGGATTCTCAAGCTTGCTGCCTATGTCACAAGTGCAATGTTTGTTGGTGCTGGAATGGTCCTGCTGTAATTTATCGTGCATCAAGATATCTGTGGGGGGAAACGTGCTTTAGCCGCCTTAGAGCAGGCCATTGGACCTCCAAACGCTTAGATGAGGATGCGCTCAAGAATCGAAGTGCTTTAACAGCGATTGTGTCACAATGGTTTTCTTTATTCACGTTAGAAACGAAGGTCATTATGGGTGTATGCATGCCGCACATGCTCCGAGAGGCAATATAATGATAAACACAAATGATAAACACAGAAAATGTACTGGCATCCTTTGCAAATTAGTAATCGGAACTGCCGCAGATTAGTGTCTGCAAAAAAGCAATTTGGCGGAAGTGTCGCCCCAGGAAACGGAAAGTAAACACAACTTCTCCCTGCCGACTGGAATACCAGTGACTGAATCTGAGTCTGTAGCTGAATTTGAGCAAGGCTACAACATGGCTAGACTTAATGATCCGTTAGACAGTGACGATGAACTTCCGGAGCTTTCTACCATACTGAGGCCTCAGACAGACGCCATCATTAGAATTCTGGCCAAGACTCCGAAGCAAGAGCACCACAAGATACCATCCCAAACAAAAGCAACCAAGAACTTAGCAAACGAGGATTTACTAACAGAAAGGCATGTAATTACTCCGAGCACCTTCACTAAAGTCTCTTCGACTGAGCCGCAGTCCAAGAAGCAACGGCCTCTAGGGCATCTAAAGCAAGCTCACGTAAACTCCCTGCTTCTCCCTATTTCCGACGCAATAATCAGTAATGCCAGGAGCGAAGATTATCGGAGCATAGAGGCAGGGGATACCGTATCAAATCGAGCCAGTCCATGGAGATTAGCCAAGGCTACTGCGGACCATAGCAAGCTTGCTCAAGCGTCGGCCAATACAAGCATACTGAATCATCATCATGACGATTCCTCCACCGATCTTTCTGGTTTCATAGTGCCTGATTCTGCTAGTGATGGGGAAGCACTGTTACCAAGGTCGCTGAAGATGAAGAAGAAGAAGAAGAGCCGAACCCCGAAGAAGATTTCTACAGCAAACCCTCAAGAACCCGGCTTTCGAGAATCTAGACGGCCTCAATCAAACACACTGCAGCCCTCTGGAACGACTGCTTTGATCTCACCTGAAGAGAAGAACAGTAGTGGAGTATGCCTGGAGTCTCCACCAAGTAATGGGCCTTTCGGATCCGAGCTGCTTGAGGCAAATCCAAACCAAGATGGCCATCTCACATCGTAGGTTCTCTGTTCAAATTCGCCATTGCAACAGCTAAGTACTGTGAAGCTCCCCTACTGAGTTCAGATCACCACATGAGTCCGAAGACAAACATCATCCATTCACGCCTCCATCGAGTCCATGGAAATCGAAATTGAAGTCGCCCTCCAAACGGCCTTGGATGCCACCGTCACCATACCGGCCGAGTATAGACGCGTTCTGGAGCCAAGATGTTGTCAACGACTGGACCGAGCAGTACTCGCCTAGGAAAATAGTCGAGTCTCCACATAAGTTTCGACTTCCTTCTATGGATAAAGACGAAGAGTTATCGCCTGCTGAATGTCCCCACAAGGTTCCAATGAAAAGCCCAGCAAAGAAAGATAAGAAAGTTATCGAACAACGGAAGCTGTTCGATGAGAAAAAACATGAGCTCGGCACCGTTTTCCTGGCCGAGCTTGATCAGACAATTACTAATGGACAGATTGCTTCAATGGCACAACCAACCGGAGGTGTTCATATCATTTGGAGTAAGAAGCTTTCATCCACTGCGGGTAGGGCGAGTTGGAGACGGGAGGCCATAGGCTCAAAGAATGATGATGGATATGTATCGAACACCACCCATCGTCATCACGCATCCATCGAGCTCGCCGAGAAAGTCATTGACGATGAAGGTCAATTCAGTCCCAATCACACCATCATGAATAAAGCTGACATCATCCAAGACCGTCTCATCAACGTAATAGCACATGAATACTGCCACTTGGCCAACTTCATGATTAGTGGCGTAAAGGATAGTCCACATGGCAAAGAATTCAAAGAATGGTAATTCTCCTCCCTGCCGCTCTCACTTCCCCTTCAAGAAGTGAGTACTGAGACGTCCTCTTCGATTTCTAGGGCACGCAAGTGCACCAACGCTTTCTCCCATCGCGCCATCAACGTCACAACAAAACACAGCTACACCATTGCATACAAGTACATCTGGACTTGCATGTCTCCCACATGCGGATTAGAGTACAAAAGACATAGCAAGTCGATTGACCCGTCAAAACATTCATGCGGCAATTGCAAGGGAAAATTAGTGCAGGTGCAGCCAGCGCCGAGGAAGGGGGTAGGGGCAGGTAAACGAAGTGGGTATCAGGACTTTGTCAAACAAGAAAACGAGCGGGTACGACTCGAGAACCCGAAGGCAGGCTTCGGGGAAGTAATGTCCATCCTAGGTAAGGAATTCAAGGAGCGGAAGAGGAATGAGGCGGAGAGAGCGAGCGGTGTTAGAAAACATAGCGCCTTGGAGAAGACTAGTTCAAGTGAGCTCGAATGTCTGGATTTTGTGGTCAGGAAGTTGGATTTTCTGAATCTAGAAACCTGAGCTTGCTGAGCACGTCTCTGTATAGTGCATTGTGGGCGTTGTACCGTGCATATCGGCACTCTCTAGGCACCATGGTCATTCATACTCCGCTCTCCCTCGCCCTGAATATTTAACAAGGGTGGCAATTACCGTATCGTCCATCTAAGATACTTCCAGCCTTATGTTCTCAACTTACTCGCCGCTGAACAGTCCCCAGTCTTTGATCGCGAAGCTCGTCACAATCTGGTGGTACATATTTCCTACTTCCTGTTCGGTCTCCCCGTATAGTGTCCCGGTTTCTGTCTCATTTGGTATCTGGCCCTCCGCCTCACTAGCGAGATGGGGTGTGTTCAAAGTGATGACTATATCCGTGCTCTGCTCCACCAGCCGGATGAGAGTGAAATAGATGTCGGTATGAGTAGGGGTGAGAGAATTTGCAGCTACGGTCGAAGCAGGAGGTTTGGTGATTGCTGTGAGAGCAAGAACGGGTGTGGGAGGTCTGTGGGGGAACAAGCGGGGTCAGGAAAGTTCCAAGTAAGATGAATGAACAGGAGCATCATCAGGTATATTCTATGTATTCATGATAGAAGAAAATTCCACGCATACCAGAAAGTGGAAGAAGACGAAAGCTTACGGGAAGTTAGGCAGCTCTGCGTTTTCAACAATGGACCTCATGCTCTTAGTATCTTTTTCCGCAACGATATCAGCGAAGTGGTATTCCAGAGCTTCTTTGTCAGTTGAAAGGTGAGAGACTCGTTCAGTGATATCGAAAGTCAGGGATATGAAGCCGTTTTTGTCGAGGTAGGCTTCTTGATTGTCTGGAACTTGGCGAATGTTGCTGTCAGAAAAACGAGGGTTAGCTGATGCAAACAGTGAAGAAATTGGCCGAAGCATCAATGGTGGTTCTTGTACTGTGAGATAGGAATTGCAGAAATCTCTACGTAAGTAGCTGCTCATCGGACCGGCAAGAAAGAGACTTGGGAAAGAGATAACCATGGATGGGTTTGACGACCGTGAGATTCTCCAAGGTGAAGGCAGTGAGATGACATAGTGATCTGTCTTACCTGACATCGGCAAAGTTGGAGGGTATATTAGCTGTGATGGCTCCGCCAAAGAGTTCTGTGTGTTCGAAAGCCGTTGTCATGATATAAAACTTTGTTGAGAGCGAGGCTCGATGAAAGGCGGGCAGTCGTTGTTCGTTGACTCTACGTAGAGGCTGCCGGATATATGAGAGGAAGGGGAGTAATTATGATTGGGATGGCTGGGACTCATGGGTTTATATATTGCGAGATAGACGAGCTGATTCCACCGGAGTTTCAGGCAGAGTAGGCAGCAAGTCCAACTGAGGCTGCGAGTTGTCGATACCATTGTTAGAGTAGTGGACCTCATCCTCATCACCTCAAAAGGTAGCAACTGTATCTTGACAAGTAATTTTCTAGATGATGGCTAACATCGCCTTGACTTTGGCATGTCAATTATGAGAATCACCAGAACGAGACAAAATTCGTGTGCCTCGTGCCATCATGCCTTCCCCGCACGACCTCCAGTCCCATTTGGGTTGAAGAAGGCTTCTCAAGTCCCTTGCCAACAATTTTCAGTCTTCAAAGCTTCTGCTCTCTTCTACACCACTCAAAGCTATTCATATATCGCTTACAGTCTTCGCCGCTTCTGAAATGGCCCAAGGTCCACGTTGGGTAAGGTAGGTGACAATTAGCCCAGCCTGCCTTTCCTTCGGGACTCCAACGCGCCCAAGAGCTACCCCCCAGTCGTACCGGATTAAAACGTCTTCGTCTTCGTACGTACCTCTTTCATGATCCTTCACAGGTTAATGAGGCCATTGGGCTTGTGAGACACGACGTTTCAAGAAAAACCTTTCCAGTTCTTTGGACCACCACAATTCATATCCTGAGAGAGGTATGCTAATACTGAGAACGTGATTCAAGGACTATGAAGGACCCTTTCCGGAAGTCTGCTTACAACAGTGATATCCTTCAATGATCCCGATTTTTCACACCCTGAAACCCGCAACTCCCTTTAATTCCACACGGCGGATCAGCATAAGATGTACTGAAAGGCGCTACTCATGAGCGATGATGCAGTCGCAGAGAAGATACTAGTAGGGTCAGGACCTGCTGAGGCGAAGGCGTTGAGTAGGGAGATGAGTAACTTTGATCAGGAGGTGTGGGATGCGAACTGCAATGGAAATGTGGAGGAAGGGAATCTTTTGAAGTTTCAGCGAAATGAAAACTTGAAGGACGTGCTACTGGCACCACCAGGACTGGGCATGTGTGGAAACGAGTCCGACTAACAAGGTATGGGGAATTGGCTTCAACACAGAGGACGCAGTAAAGTGTGAGAGCGACTTTGGGGAGAATAAGCTTGGAAAGGCATCGATGAAAGTCAGGGAGCAGTTGGCTGCTCATTGACTGCTCAGAAACCTTTTTATACTAGGTACCATTTCCTTTGACAAGATATTTTAGCGTATTCAAAATCCATAGACATTCCCCCTCCCCTAAGTTGCCAAGCATTGCCATGGATTTTGAATACGCTAAATCCGGGCGGAGAACGCGGTCCACCTCGCGTGATTCCAATAGCCAGCCGAGCCAGATTGATTCTCTCCTCCTATCGATCCAAGACCTTACACAATGACAATGGATGGCTCGAACTGCGCAACTGCCGCAGAAATTGATACGCTGGCAAAAAGTCTGCGCTTGCAACTGAAAGAATGGGAGCAATCTTTCGCAGTGGCGCATCAAGGTCGCAAAGCTGGACGCGAAGACATCAAGCAGCACCCCGATATAGGTCAGAAGCTCTCAATTTGTTATCTTTCGCAACCATCTGCTGATGCAACCAAGCACACAAGTACAAGCAGTATGATAGACTGCGAAGATCTTCTTCAAAACAAGCCACCCCTCACAACACCACTCCCTCGAGAAAGCGGCCTACTACCAACCCACACCCTGTGCCCTCAGCCCGCTCTCCATACAAGCGTCCGAAGCACGCTCACTATACCCACCCCTTAACAAGTCGCTCCAGTGACCCACCGTCTCCTACGCACGTGTCTCCTAGGACCCACCGCACGTCGATCGGGCCTACACCTCAGAAGGATGGCCAAGTCCTCGGGCTCTTCGATCAACTTTCCACATCCTCAAACTTGCAGACACCTTCCAAACGAAAAGCGCTTCGCTCGGTAGGAGGCAACATGCTAGCTACACCCTCCAAGCGTCCCCAACCGAAGGATCGAAAGCACACAGATAGAATGCACCAAAATTCTCCCATAAGCGGCACCAAGAGCGAGCTTCTCAACGATCTTTTTACCCCTTCTACCCGCCGCACAACGGATTGTTCCACTCCAGCTTCGCGGGGTGGACTATCGAAACTTCGCTCCGATGACACACCTGCCTTTCTAAGGCGAGATAGCCAGCGCGCTGACGTGGAAAAGGAGAATGTCTTAAGAGATGAAACAGGAGTCTCATGGAGTCCAGTAGCCATCCGCAGACTGCCCAAGGCTGCTGGCCGAGGTCTGAGCGCACTCGTGAGAGGATTGCGGCAGATGGAGGATGAAGGGTTGGATGAAGAGTTGGATATGCTAAGAGAGATGGAAAGCGAGATTACTCCCAGAAACCACTTGGATCAGCCCAAGGTCTTTGTCAACGATAGCCAGAGGCCGGATATGCCTCTTGGGCCCGACGGCGGCCTTGAAAGCGATGAAGATGGCGTGGAATATGCCAACGAAGGAAAAGGAAGGAACGGCAAGCCATTGAAGGTGTGGAAGAAGAAGGGGCAAAAGCGGACGACGAGAAGGGTGCTCATGAAGCCGAATACCGCAAAATGGAAGCCCGAACCGGCTTGGAAAGTTGGCCAAGCTAATAGAGATGAAGAAGATGGTATTGCTGAGACACAGACCGTGAGTGCTGATCGGTCGATAGACTGGAAAGAACGTGGCTGCGACAGCGACGAATACGAAGACATAGAAGGTAGTCAAGGAGCAACGAGGGCTGAAAACGGTAAGAGAGATGCGTTTGACAAGTTGGGAAAGAAAGAAGGATTAGCAAAGAAAGTAAAGAAGAAGATCAGCGCAACAGCGCATGCCAACTTCAGAGCGCTTAAGATCAAGAACAAGCAGTCGAAGGGGAAGAAGGGTGGTAAATTCGGTCGGAAACGGTGATTGAAACTCAGAATGCAAAGCGGGTGTCTACCTCAACAAATTGACCCCTCAGTTCATCTCTTCATTATTGTAGTGCTCGGGCCTGCGCTGGGCGACATCTCACGTTCAAGAAGCTCCACCTCACCTCCTGGCGGCCGTGCTAAGTCGTTGACTGGAAAGCCTCACATGATGGTGCCCGAACGCTCCTTGGGTGTTTGAATTTGGATATTGATCATGCTCAGCCGGGACCGGAGGGGTACTGGCTGCTGTATCTTGGGAGATGACCGCGATACGGGACATAGCGGTCACTGCGTCCGTACGAGGTTCTCCGAGCCGGGGCCTTTGAATGCATTGAGTCGATCCTATGTTGCGGTTGTTCCATGCTCCTTCGGCTCTGACCATGTGGAGATGTCTGGGCTTTGTATTCAGGCCTCGTGATAGGAATATCGTATTGCACGTGGCGATCCCAGTCTTCCAATGACGTGTATGGACTTCGGAGCCACGCTTTGAGCTCATGAAGAAACAAACGAGTATTGTCTCTCCCTAGAAATTCCTGCAGCATGTCTTCCGCCTGACTGCCTTTCACGTCCACAGTTTTCAAGATTGCAACAATGTACTCGAGCAGAAATTCCGCATTGTTTGCTCTTCTGGTGACGCCCTCTTCCCAAATGCCGTCTGGATTCAAAAATTGAAATACCTGCAATTCCCTTCGTATCCATTTCTTTGCACGCGAGACTAGCTCTTGATGTTGAACAAACAGCTGAGGTGTCAGGTCTCGAAATCTTGATAACCGATTCGAGCCAACATGGAGTGAGTAGAGCCGGAGGCTGTAAATGTCCTTGCGATGCAGTAAAGCGGTGTCTAGGTTCACTGGGACTCGAATCCGGGGTCTTCGCGGTCTCCAGCTGGAAATCCGCCGCTGATCATGGCCGTTATTGAAATGAGAGGTTCTCGAAGGGACAACGCTTGATGATTTCTCTCTTGTGTTCGATGTAACTTTGTAGACTTTGAAGTCTTCTGGCGAATTCCAGTCGTATTCCACTGAGTGCACTTCAGTGTTACCTGCGGCTCCTGTTAGCCAGAGCATCTCTCGCCAGAGGGTTCTCAATACAAACACAAGGGACAGGCAGAGCGTTCTTGAAGCCAGCTCACAAGGCACAGGAAGTCAAAGCTGTAATGGCGACATGGGGAGGCCACAGCTCTCTCAGAGACCGTGTCAAGGCATATAACGCAAGGGTCGATATGAGTGCCTGTTCCCTCTGTAGTCGCCTTGATCTCGTCGAGGGTACCCTCTAACACCCTTATTTTAGTAACGTTGACACTCTTATCCTCCTCCTCCTCCATCATGCGCAGCTCCTAGATTGTCAAGCAGACGAAACAAATGGCCCTGGGCGCGGGGTTCTTTGATTTGCGCCACAGGCCCCAGCTTGGCGCGCTAAAAGCGGTAACGGCGGAATTTCGGAGGCAAGGATGCAGCGATTCGTTGATATTACATATATGTACCCTTAGAGTTCTTCTATTGGAACAGAGACTGGAACAACCTTCAAGCAAGCGTCAGGTCTCGTCTTCTCCATAAAATACATTCTTGACAAGTGGATAGATATGAACGACTAATGGCCCAAGCATGACGTATGTTTATGATAAGGTTGTGCCTTGAGAAGATGACTGCATCCTTTACCAATGGGCCAGGGCCAATGAACCAGCGCAAGGTGGTTTCCCATACTCTCACAGGCCTGAAAAGATGGTCATGCCACAGCCGAGAGCTGCCTCGTAGGCTACATCTCCTGTCTCCCGCTCCTGCTCTGTGTAATTCACTAAATCAGAAACAGCTGTCGACCAAGTGAAAGCTCTCCATGTCTACGACTTTGATAATACCTGTATGAGCTTCCAACCTCTGCCAAATCACCTCCAGAGTAGGACTTACCCATCTCAGTGTTTATGAGTCCGTTGCCAAACCAGAAGCTATGGAACGGACAAACTGTAGGCTTCTTACAGACACAAGAATGCTTCGTCAATGGGGGTTGGTGGCATGACCAGCGTATTCTGGAGGCCACCGGTCAAGGGATTGAGAAGGAGGAGCCAAAGGCGTGGGAGGGCTGGTGGAACGAACAAATTGTACGCTTGAAGGATGATCGGGAACGGCCAATGCTGACGAAGCGAAGGTCGACCTCGTGGGACTCAGTATCAAACAGAACGACACGCTGACCGTTCTATTGACGGGACGAAGCGAGCATAACTTCGCTGACCTGATCAAACGCATCGTTGCCAGCAAAGATCTTTCTTTCGATATGATTTGCTTGAAGCCACAGGCTGGTCCGAACAGTGAGCGATTCCGCTCAACTATGATGTACAAACAAGCTATCCTAGAGGATTTGGTACATACCTACAAGGATGCGGACGAGATACGGATCTACGAAGATAGACCAAAACAGTACGCGGTTTTCTAATTGACCTCCTATGCAATACTAAAATCTCGTTAGCACCAAAGGTTTTCGTGACTTCTTTGAGAGCTTCAACGCCAACCTCCTTTCCCCAGCAGCGCAAACTCCTCGGAAACCCATAGTAGCTGAGGTGATCCAAGTTGCAGATCAAGTGAAAACACTCGATCCAGTCGTCGAGACCTCAGAAGTCCAGCGTATGATCAACAACCACAACTCTCAAAATAAAGCCGGCCGGAATCTCGAGATCAAGCGCACGGTCTTCTACACCGGTTACCTGATAGCACCCATGGACACCGCCAAGCTCCTGACCCTCGTCAAGCCTCATCCCAACATGCCTGAGACCGATGTCAAATTCCTTGCAAATAATATTCTTATCACATTTGGGCCCGCCCAGTCACCTCTTCTCAACAAAGTTGGGGGTATTGGTTTCAAGCAGACATGGCAAGTCACTGGCTTTGCTTCTCTGGACTCTAAGGTTTGGGCTGCGCGAGTCTCTCCTGTTCCACCTATATCGATATTTCACACAGACAATCATGTACCCTTCGTCCTTTTGGCTCACCACAAAACCGCGCGGCCTGGTGACGCAAATCGAATCCAAAATTGGCAGCCAGTCAGTGCAGATAAGCAATACGTGTTTCAGACCACGGTCGGCGAGAAAGTGCAGCTTCGAGTGGAGCCTGAGACCGAAGGCGAAAGCGAGTATGATAGTCTTCTCGACCG